TAACTAAACTTTGTCTTCTGGGAGCAACTGCGAAGAAACCAAAGCATTCTATTACTTCATAGACATACGTGCTTGACTATAACAAGCTAATATAATACAAAAGTAGAAGAAACAGGCTAATGAGTGTGGTACAACGTGAAAGAAACCTTTTTTGTCCTATGGAACGTTGTTCTGATTTGATCGAGACAAAGTCTAACATCCTCATTATAAAGCGCTGTGAAAGACTTTGCAACGAGAAGACGTTTAAAGAAACTAAATTGAACGCAGGGAGAGGTACTGACATGTCATAGTAACTATTTTAAAGGCTTCACGAAAAGTAGAATGAACAAACTACCCTAAGCTTTCCCAACTGTTAGTCTACCACCATCTTCCCGCTCCCCCTTATTTATCAGAAGATTGAATAGATACAGGAAGAAAAATGAACGGAAAGAAAGAAAGAAAGAAAGAAAGAAAGAAAGAAAGAAAGAAAGAAAGAAAGAAAGAAAGAAAGAAAGAAAGAAAGAAAGAAAGAAAGAATAATTTCCTAGACAAATAATTAGTACGGTATTCACTGAATATGTGACTGAAAATAGATAAATACGTCGTGTATAAAGAAAAAAAAACATTCAGAAAAGAAAAAAAAATTGCAAAGTAACTTAAAGCTCCCTTCCATGTCCACCCTTATTATATTAAAAAATCTAAATTGACTGTATGTTTCTCTAAAATCCCCCCGCTCTTCTTGCCGGGTACCTCTATTTTTTTTTCTTCTAAAAATGAGCCATTCAACTCAATGCCCCAGCCGCTGTAACTATATATAACACTTAGCAGGAATAATTATTTGGAAAGGTAATAAAGACTATACAGGGGACACAACAGAAGAGTAGCAAGTCATCGTTGTAAATTCAGGCGCTCGTCAAAATAATGAAATCGAAGGAACAGGCATTTTTCCGCTTGTAGGTTAATGTCTATCGAATCTTTGTTTTTTGGCTGAACACCTTTTTTGTCCATATAAAACATATTTCTATGTGAATTTTATCTAGAAACATACACTAAAGGCGCAAAATGTGTAAATTTCAAGTTTTCAAGGGCTCTCAATCTATTGAAATTACCAAACATTGGCAGCCATTTTCTAGCTTATTTTACTTTTGAAGCCATGGGACCCCACCTCCTCCAATTGCAAATATCCAAACTTCTATTCCAGATAAATTGGGGTTCTTTTTCATCGAATGCGAAGGAAATAAATTAAGCTTTCTTATGATACTAATAACTCCACATGCCCCAAAATTGACGTGCGCCTGATTCCACCGAGTCGTGACATATTTCATGAATTATGAACTTTAGTTATACTCATTGATGGTGCATGACATTACAGTTAAGCTTATCCTAACATTGTGGTGAAAAATACCGCAGAGAGTCGACATACAAATAATAGAAGTGACAATTGTGTAACCTTCTGAAAGATTTAAACCTCCAGACTTTAGAACTAAGAATTGTTTTCAAGTACCACTGGTGGATTGTTTACTTGTCTTCTTCAAACATGTCTTCCAAATGAGTAGATTCTATATTATAATTCACTGCTGTGAGTAGAGTGTTTCAACATTCTGTAGCGACTTGCTGTAGGCTGACTGACCAAAAATAACACAACAATCACACAGATAGCCTTTCTTCAACACCAGCGTTCCACACCAGCCGCACCAACCTTACACCCA